AACACACATACACAGACCCACAAGCAGAACTGACACACACACACACGCACACACATACACACATACCTACGAGATTCAAAGACACACAAGCATACACAAAAAAACAAACTCAGCAAGTGAACCCACAATCACAAAAGAAACGCACACAGACTCAAGAAACTGAAAAACAGTAGACCCCTGATAAATATACTAATTAAAAACACACACACACACACGCACATCCCATGGAAACCCTCGCATAAACGCCGACCCCCCCAATAGAACATTAAGAATCACCACCACACAATAAAAACCAAAAAAAAAAACCAAAAAAGAGAGAACCCCCCTATAAAAACATACACAGGCCTAAAGCAACTAATGCAACAAGAACCAGTGACCAAAAAACGTCCACAGTCAACTACACCGAGACTGAACCTGAAAACATGAACCAAGTTGCCCCCCAAAAAGAAAATAGTAAAAGACAAAGCCAGGAAAATGACAAGTAACCCACAAAAAAAACAAAGCACAAGCACTAGCTGATGCGAACGCAAGACAGAAACCATGCAAGTACTGCCATAGCCAGAACAAAAAAAAAACAAAAAACCCTTTCAACCCTTTTTAATTAATTTTAAAAAAACAAAAACAAAAAAAGCACAGCCGCTATAGACAAACTAAAAAAATCCCCCCGCCAAGCCACAACGCGCAGACGGTCTGCTACACCCTGCAAAAAAGAGTTCATGTAAGCCTCCCCCCCAGAACAACAGGAATACACAGCTAGAGACGAGCGCTACCCCCACCATAAGAAATCATAAACCCCCATACCCACACGGCCGAATATGGCGCCTATCACACCACACAAACAACCAATAGCACACAACCCCCCCCCAAAAAAAAAACCACAGCCCTCTAAAAGGCGGAAAAGTAATGCAACTACAGGAAAAACGTGTAGACGCCGCACACAGCGCAAGCTACTCCCCAACAACTAGCCGTACACCGATGCAGCATACACCAACCGCATATATACACAGGAGAACACCTAATTCCTCCTCACTCGAACGACATACCTATGCCTTGACAAGCTCTCACGGAACCGGCATGCTCATAGACATCAGTAGCTCAGTCTGGAGATATCAGACCGCGCCAGGTACTGTAACGCTAGTGCAAGCTCCTTCCTTCCGTTGCATACGCCGCTGCTGGCAAGCAAAGCAAGCCTCGGACACACAACGTGACCAAGGTGCAGCCTTGGCTTTGCACCACGCAGAACGACTTCGACTGCAGGGTATCGGAGCTCCGCAATCCTCCAACGATGTCCGCCATGGCCTCTGCAACAGATGGACAAGTCACGGACGCAGAAATCAACGCGCACGCGGTAGTGATCGCCAACCTACCCTCAACTCCCCATCCCAAACCTTTCATACCTGCTGACACCCTCTCCTACATCCACCGTGACCCCTATTTAAAATATGCCCCACTCTCAAAAATAGCCCTCCACCTTCGTCTACGCCCGCCCACCCTCCCCTCGGCTCACTATCCACTCTCTCCTACCAAAACGCTACATGGGTCGCCCCCACTCCTCTGGTAATTGGTCCAGAAGATGTAGAAGGCCACCCAGACCTACATCGGACCTCCACTTCCTCTCACACCCTCACCCCTCCATACACATACCGTCCACTCCTTCCTAAGAGCTACGAGAGGCGCCCTTACTCCACTGGTGATCGGACCAGTCGATGTAGAAGGCCACCTAAAGGTCGTAGCCCATCATACCCTCTGATGAGCCGTTTGGCGCAAACGGCGAAAAGCGCTTCAGGGATGCGCCACCCTCGTTCCTCTATCTTGAGATTGGTCCTATCGAAGAAGGTTCTCTTACTTCTCTCTCTCTCTCTCTCTCTCTCTCTCTCTCTCTCTCTCTCTCTCTCTCTCTCTCTCTCTCTCTCTCCCCCCCCCCCCCCACTCCTCTACCACTCCCCCTCTTTCCTATCTCCACGTATGTTGGGTGTTAAAAGGCATGGTGAACATAGAAGAAGGCGAGCTATGGCAGTAGGTGTACGAAGGTGACCCAAGCGATACTCTAGTAAGATGCTATGCTTGTTTGTGACCATGAGTGATATGCTTTTCAATACTGATCCTGGCTAGGCCAGGTTGTGCAATTGCTTTGCAATTCGTTTTATAAAACAACTTTCTTTTGATTTAATACTTTATTTTTTCGTTTACTATTTTTTTTAAATCATTGAGGACATTAAAAAAAAAAAAAAAACTTATAGGGGGGTAGCGATTTTTGAAACCCTACAACACCATTTGTTTTTTTGTTTTGGTCTATTATCCTAGGAATTAAAAATGTCGAGGTTTTCCAACCGCACTTGGCCTCAACGGTTGGCCCCCGCGGGCATGATCATGCCCGCATGCGACCAAAAAGCCCGCGGTCATGACCCCGGGTGATACATAGGCAAGCGGCCCGTGGTCGGGAGAGGAAGCCATGCGAAAGCCTCGGACGTGAGCGGGTCCAATACCTTTATGTTGAACTCGCTCGCCGAATCCTGTGAAGAACCAGTTGTAGACGATAAGTCGCCTCTGCCGAACGGAGAAGATGCCGCACACACGTCTTGTCCTTGAGCATGAGTACCCAGCGAAGGAACAAGCCGGGGAGCATAGTCCTCATAAGAATATAAAAGAGGAGGACTATCGACTTCCGCATGTGCCTCTGAACGAAGGGCGGTCGCCCGCGTACCAACCGGTTCCTAAGGCGTCGAGAGTGTCGTCGACTCACTCCCGACGGCGCTCAATTTATCGATTTGCCCTTGCCTTTCGACGGACAACCCACTGTGTCGTGGAGATCGTTGTTGCACCGCAGAAAATAACGGAATCTCGTACGTAGCTTGTACGAATGTTGCGAGAGACCATAGTGGGTCCATAGGGCTTGAGTTGCTGCGCCGAGCCCAAGGTTTGATGTGGTGTTTGTCTTCGTCTTGCCACATCCTCGGACTTTGTCGGGGCAGCCACCATCCCTGGCGGCTGCGAGTCTGTCCCCTTCATTGGCAGATGCAGCCTCGCTTGAAGGGTCAAACGGTGTTGCCTCCACACCATGACCACTTTCAGCCGATGTTGTTCTCTACTTTGGTCTGCCGCAGGCGAACGATTGAGGTTCTTGGCCTCCATGTTCGTAACTATAATCTGTGCGGCCTTGTCAAAGAGCTCCATTGTTGTAGTGAGAGTCTTCTCAACGTGAGTGAAGGCGTTGCCCAACGCCAGAGATGACCTTGTGATGAAGTAGTGTTTGATGGCCGTAAAGCTCATCGGGACGTCTGGTACGGATGTCAAGCGTCGGAACTCAGCAATCCAATCGCCACTCGGCAACGCGCCTTGTTCGAAAGTCAGCAATTTGTCCATTGCTTTGATTTTCGACTGCTCTGCTTGGAACCACTTATGCCACGCTGCCTTTAGATCATTCCAACTGATCTTGGTATATAAGTCGGCAGTCACCATGTTGTACTTAGACAAGAGGTTGTTCAACCACGTTTGGCACGCGCCCCCCGATCGGGAGTACAAGTACGAGTGTTTCTTCTCTTCGCTGACATGGCGAAGCTGCAACTTGAGCTCAAACTTGCGGAACCACGAAATCGGGTCTGTCTTCATCAAGTCGCAGAAGATCTCCTGACCATCGAACTTCGGAGTCGATTCGCGTGGTGACGTGCTCGTAGTGGCGGCCACACGGATCCGCTGCTCAAGTTGCTGAGTTGCGGTTTGCTGTTACAGTAGCTACATGCACTGACGTCGACTTCCAATGTGTCGAGGCGATCAGCAGTGTTGGAGGAGTTGGCGACGGGGGCGGGGATGGGTCGTTGCTCCAGCTGCTGGAGGCGGCTGTTGACTTGATCCGACGACCATTAGTGGTTCTATACCACGTTGTCGAGGCTATGCATGTCGTCTAATTGTGCAATGCACGTTACCAGGAGATCCGTGAGGCGGGAGAGCAATAGTGAGATTCGTGGTTCATTGTCGCTGAATTCGCCACCTTCGGCCTCGATCCGCCATGCCGATGCCATAGTGAGCAAAACTCTCTCCTCGCTGAATACCTTATCGCGTCGTTGACTGCGTTTCTCGTCGACGGCCTTTGCTGCTGCCTCGTCATGCTGGCGTTGTTGTTCTATCGCCAATAGACGTGCTTTTTCGATATTCTCCGACTTCTTGTTCTCTACGGCTGCCACCGCTTCCGACTGTTGGTTGGCTTCAGTAATCAAAAACAGCATCCGGGCCTGGTAGGCCTCGGCCGTTTCCCCTGGCTTCTGGTCCATGACGGCTGTTTGCGACCGCGTTAGCATAAACCAGGGCGGAGGACCACTGACGTGGCACTCCCTGTTGACGTGGCAGTTCTCGGCTGTTGACGTGGCACGACTGTCAGCTGACGTGTCGCTGACGTGGTCTGCTGATCTGTGCCCAAGGGTGTCCAACATTTCCTCATTGTACACATCCCTATCACCCAGATATTCCTTGTCCCTTTTGTGCTCAAGGACGTTATCAGGACTGCATGATGCCGCACTGTGACGAACGTCCTGCTGTTTTTTTTAGATGTGGACAGCATGTCCTTTGTCAGGACGGTTTTCATGGGATGGTCCCTGCTAGCCGTCCTCAGGCTGCTCAATGCTGTGCTGAAGTAGCTCTCCTTGGGTATCCTTGTGATCATCCACGTCATCCTCAGCGTGCCTGTCCTATCTGTCGGGGTGGGGGCTCCTCTTCCTAATTGATCAATAGAATTTAGCGATCAGGAGCAACACTACTTGTAGGGCAGATAAAAGAAAGGAAGAAAAAAAAAAGTACACATTTCTAGAGAAAATAAAAAATAAAAAAGATGGGTGGGGGATCCTCTTTGTAACTGGTCAATAGAATCAAGCGATCAGGAGCAACACGAATTGTAGGACAGATAAAGCTTTCGATTTTACCAACAGATATGGAGTTGAAGAAAGAAGAAAGAAAAAAAAAGAAAAAAGAAAAAAAAGAAAAAAACAAAGAAAGAAAGAAAGAAAGAAAAAGTACAAATTTATGAAGAAAAGAAAAAAGAAAACAAGAAAAAAAAATAAAAAATGTTGAACTTTGTAATGACAGTGGCAATTGGTTTATCTGGGGGATGTGTCATTTGCTTTCTTCTTTGTCTTTTCTCTGACATTTCTCTTTCTCTTGCCTCTGTGAGGTCTGGTTTCCTCCTCCTTACTTCTTTACCTCTTTTTTGTCTTTTGGCTGCGTGCAAGTGGGGGGTGACACACGGGGATGGGGTCAGCCAGATTTCAACCTGTCATCCACGTGGCTGGCCTTGTACGTTAAGAGGTGATGAACATGCGAAGCTTTCCTTCCTTACTTCCTGTGCTTTCCTTGTTTTGTTTTTTTTCGCCTTCGCGCTCTGATTCACCGTGTGACAATATATGTATGTACTATATGTATATATATATTGTCACATGATATCAGAGCACCACGTGGAAAACTAACTTGGAGTGATACATCATGTTGGAGAAGGATGTGCCATGAAAGCCAACATGGAAGGATCTTGCAGCGGCTGACGTGGCGCACTGGATCTTCGGAGTTTTGAAAGAAAATAATGCCGACGTGGAAAGGTATCACAGCGGCTGACGTGGCGCTCAAACCCTTCGGACTTTCGAAAGTGAATAGTGCCGCATGCTTATGTTGAGTGTGGATAAAGACTTACGCCACTTCTTAGATCTTGCCAGGATTAGAGAATAGGGAATGCAATTTTGACCTCTTTGTTCTTTGGTCTGGGGTTTGCTTTTTCCTCTCAGTCTTCAACCACGCTATTTGGAAGGGGGAGATTAGAGAATAGGGAATGCAATTTTAAAATCTTTGTTTTTTGGTCTGGGGTTGAACATAGATTTTGATTCAAACTCTTTGACCTCCTTTCTGTCTAGCCCTCTTTCTCTCATCCGGATGGGAAGGTTTTTTAGTCTTTTTAAGATTTTTTTACTCTTTCTCTTTCTCATACTATTAACGGGTCTTACTGTGCATTATCCCGTTTTTATCTTCATCAAACACCGCTTTCTGTATCTGTTGAGGCTGCTTCCGATTATCACTCCTTTTCTACTAAGTTTGCTTTTTGCAATTTTGGCCTTTCTTTTCGGAACAGCTTCGCTGGATACTGTTTTTCCAAACCATATTAGGTTTTTCTTTGTCATCATCGTCATTTCTTCTCTGACCCTCTGCATCTTTTTTACGGATAACTAGTTGGAATCATTGGGGGAAGAACCGCACACTCGCCGAACCTCCCAACATAAAAGGCAGTAGCAATGGCGGTTGAACAGCAATCGACCATCTCGCCAGCTGAGGAAAAACAATTAAAAGACATGATCTCCAATTGTTTTCTCACCGGCGACGAGAATCCGGATCTGTCTCGAAAATACATTCGATCCGGAATTAACCCGGCAGAAAATACCTTGGAGATTCATCTGGACAACAAATACGAAAAACTCCAGATAGACTATCTCAAATCGCACGGGGTTATGGTGTTGTTTGTAGAATGTGGACCGGACATGACTTTCCAAGAGAAAGAAGACTGGGTTCAACAGGTTGAGTCCAAGTGGGATGAGTCACTGACTGGGGGGTTGAATGGCAGAGTCAAACCGGAAGGGGCATTGGTGATATCGTATCTCGCCCCAACCCCGCGGCTACGACACTGGCTGGTCAATGATTTGGGAGAGGGAAGGATCAATTGGCAGGGAGGCAAATACAAAGTCAGATTTCGAGCTTGGTTGACTCCAAATGAATTGAAACGGGACAGACAGGCTGAACAAGAAGGGAGATACTGGATCAGGGTGCTCAATGTTCCCTATCTAGCCCTCAATTCATTACAAGCGGCGATCGAATCTCAATATGGCCGGGTCATTCGCGCTCAGCCTCTGGAGAAGCGCAAAAATGAGCCGCGTCTGGTCAATCGCCGTTATGATCTGGAGATGGCGGCTAAGGGGAAAATACTACCCACGATTAGCATCCACAGCACTGAGGGATTACTGAAATTTGAAGTCGTCACTCAAGATACCCCTTGGTGTGTAGTCCACAAGTGGTATGGCCACCCTTCGGTCAAGGGCCGCTGTTTGGAGAATGTGCCACCAGACCAGTGGACAGACATCATCCGTCAGGCTGCGGAGGGAGCACCGACACAGGACCAAAATCCACAAGGGCCCCTTAACGATACAGAAATGCGGAACGCACGAGACTCAGCGAAGAAGCCAAACAAATGGACGAAGTCCAAATTGAGCGATTCCTGTGCGACTAGAGGAGATTCCTCCTCCCCGTATCGCAGGACCGGGTCTAGAGGGGGGGGGGGGGGGGGGGGGGGGAGGAAGGGGCGCTGGAGGCGGGCGGGGGAGGGGTGCATCTGAATGAGAAGGGGGAGGACCTGCAGCAGAACCAGCGGGTTCATCGCAACCTGTACTTGGAGTCTGGGGAGACACACGCGATGACTCCAGAGAACACCAGCAGCAACAACATGGTATGCCAGCCGGAAGGAGATTGGAAGAACGCGAAGACCATTCTATGCCTCCCTTCCTCGTTTTTCCACTCAGTCTGGCGTGGAACGAGGAAGAGTTGAGCCTGCTCACGGCAAGGCAAGACTACTCACTACTCTACATACCTCACGTCTCGTGTGACACTGAGCCCAACATAGATGAAACCATAACAGAGATCCAGAAATGGCTGGGACCAGGTTATCGGCTGCGCAAATGGCCCGAGGTCCAATGGATCAAGATTCCGAAGACCTACCCAAATGGAGAAGAGATAGCACTTCTCTTCCTCTTCATTGATGCTCGACGACCTGAGGGGGGTCAGGAGGTGGCAAACATGCCTGCAGCACGATGGATACCTTGGCGGAACTTTTCCGCCCCGGATAGCCCCATGACTCGCACCACGCACTGCAGCTTGGCGGATTGTGGACAGCGGAGCTCCTTCACGAGGTAAACCGCTGTATGCCGCCTCAGTTCAAGCTTTTCGAACCGGGCTTCGCGGGAGTCATGATGCTGAAATGGGTTGACTAATTCTAGCTGTCTCTCAAGTGAATTCCTTACTAACATCTTTTTTCCTTTTCTCTTTTCACTATTTTCTTTTCACTTTTCCCACTTTTTTTTTACTTTTTTTTTTTTTTCTCTCTTTCTTTCTTTCTTACTTTTTCCTCTCAGCACCCTTTTTTTCTTCACTAATCTCCCCCTTCCTACTCAATCCTCAGTAAATGGACAAACTGAAAGTGCTATCTTGGAATGTCCATGGTCTGGGAACAAGACAGGTGGCACACAAACGTTCCCTCATAAAAACAGTGGCTAGGAACAACTATGCTGCAATTGTCGGCCTACAAGAAACCAAATTGGACGGACAGGCAATTAACGCACAATTATCCTGGTGGCGTGGTGCACAATTTTGGGCACCCGCAGTGGGCACAAAAGGTGGGGTTGCCATACTATTCAAACCCAACCTACCCATCACCTTTTGTGATTACTTCTGGGATTGTGAAGGCAAGTGGATATGGGTCGTTTTTGAAATGGATGGACTGCTGTGGGGGGTATACAATGTGTACACCCTAGTGGATCGAAAACTCAGATCCACCTTTTTCCACTTCCTGCCGGGAACAACCCCTTCAGTTGACCGCCTTCTACTTATCGCTGATTGGAATACAG